ACTTACTCTGATGTAGGAAGATACATTGACCATTATGCTGCTATTAAAAAGGCTTGGGATGATCTCAAGAAATATCTGGAGCCCAGGTGTCCTCGGATGGTTTTATCTCTGAAAGGTACTGGAATGCAGGATCTCTTTTCCTCATTTTTATTACTATTAGTATAAATAGTTTAATTTAAATAACTTTGAATCTCTATCATCTGTACGACTGTGTTAATCCAATCTGTTTATAATTCACTGTTCACATTTGGTCAAGGAAGTAGAACGCCAGTATTGCTTTAGTGCTTCCCCTGTTTTTGCTCAGCCTTGGGACCTCCATGATTATTTACTAGAAGAGAAAGCTGAACTCCTTTTATCCTTATATTTATCCTTAGATTAATATTATTATATCATTAGATCTGTATATAAAGAATATTAAATATTCTTTAATATTTGGAAAGAACCTGGGTGTTGAAGAGACAAGAGTGTCATAATAAGTAAGGAAAACTTTTATCCTTATTTTGACATTTACAGAGTAGTGAAACTAAGATTTGAACTGATGTCTGTTTGGCTCCAGGATCTGTGCTCTTTCTACTATACTATTATTGTCCAACTTCGGGAAGAAATATTAACAAGCTATTTTCATTAATTTGATTTGTTGATTTATTGCCCATGAAAATGCACAGATTACAGATATATTGCTACTTATCTGTTTTATCCTCCAAGTTTTTTCACATTTCTCCACTGAAAGACATTGTATACATCTTTTGATTTTGCTAAGCTAAAATTGTAATCAGTTCTTCTCAAATATTTTCCTTCTGTTAACGCTAAGGACTCTTTTGAAATAGCATTCCTTTTGCATTTCACATTTCCACTGTCATTTTCCTTGCAGATATTACTTTCATACAAATCGTGATTGTATGACCATGTGCTTAAAACTGAATAGCTAGAAGGTAGAGGAAAGAATAATTTGGCAGAGAGAGTAAAGTAGAACTTTGAAGGAAAGTACCCTTGATTAATATTTTTAATAGCTTATTTTCTTACAGGAAAAGAATATTATTATTTACCTGGTATGTGGGGTTAAGTATTTCAAGAGGAAAATAATTCTGAAAATAGGTATTTGGTAGTGATAAGTAAAATAGGGAAGGGCTTACAATAGCTATTATTTATTAAACACAAAGCTAGGCCCTAAGCTAAGTATTTGGCGCATATTAGTCCATTTAATTTGCAAAAATCTTGGGATAAGTAATTACTATTTTTATTTTATAGGTGAGCTACCTAAGGTATAAAACACTGAGTAAGTTGTTTACCATCACAAAACAAAAAACAAATCCAGGATTTGAATGTAGGACAGACTCTCGAGCTATGGTCTTAACATTGATTGAAGGGAGAACAGACCTATCTTATTTTGTTTAGAATGTGTTAGGCCTCTTTAAGAGCTACTCCAAATATTAGGACATTTGGAATATGAAAATGGAGACATGGTTCTCTTCGACACAGAGCGACCAACAAGGGAAGAAAGTAAAGATACAGAACAGCTTCTCTCTGTAGCCTCCCCTTTTTAAATTCCCAATTTGGTATTTCAAGGCTGACTACTTACTATTCTGTACCTAGCGATTGGCAGTGAGGTTGTCAGAGAATTCTTTGATAGCTCCTGTTTTACTCCCAGGCTCCCAGGTACCAGTTCTCTGGGACTTTGTTATGAGTTGGAGTAGGATAAAGGCTCTTTGATACCTACAGTGCTGGGGGTTCTAAGAACTCTGGGTTTGTGAATTGTAGAACTGAGTCAGGAACCTAGCTGCCCACCTCAGGTGCCACGATCCCTGATTCAATTTCAAGAATATAGAGGTAGCAGATAAAAAGGAAAATCAGAAAGCAAATAGGCATTGGTCTTGGGAAAATTTTTATGGAATATCTTGAAATTATGGCATATTGATGTTCTTATCACATATCTTCAAATTTCATATTTACCTTAAGTGTTGGCTTAGAATTTTAGAGCTGAAAGGGATCTTAGGGATCTTTTAGACCAGGGGTTGGCAAACTTTTTTTTTTAAAGGACCAGAAAGTAAATATTTGAGGCTTTGTGGGATACCTGGTTTCTATCACAACTGTTCAACTCAACTGTTGTTGCAGGAAACAGCCATAGGTAATACATAAACACATAGATGTGGTTGTGTTCCAATAAAACATTATTTACAGAAACAGGCAGCAGGCCAGGCTTTGGGCTGTGGGCTATAATTTGCCCATCCCTGATTTATGCTTGTGCCCTCATTCTACAGGTGAAGAAATATACCCAGAGAGTTTAGGTGACTCATGCAAGGTCTCAAAACTAGTAACAGAGATAAAACTCTATAATCTAGCCTTCTCGGCTCCTAGTAAACTTTTCACTGCTTCTTCATATGAGTATCTGAGGGTAGAAAGAAAGTAAATGAATATTTATTGAGTACCCATAAAGCACTTTATTAAACATGAAGTTTTAGGTAATCCTCATTATAATTCTCTGAGGGAAGTGGTATTTTCCCCCTTTACAGGTGAGGAGAGAGGATCGAAGAGGCGAAATAACTTGCCAGAGATCACACAGTCAGTAACTGGTAGAGCCAAGATTTGAACCCTGGTCTGTCTGGCTCCCAAATTCTATCATAGTAGGATGCCTCTTTCAACCTTGATTTTACTGTATTATAAACGTATATTTCCTTATATTTTTGTTTTTGCCATGTCTGTTTGTTGTTTTTGGTTTTGTTTTTACATTTTTCTGTCTAGCTGCTCTCTCTCTTCAAAAAACTCTTGGTTTCTTAATATTGTATGTTAAATGTCTATCATGTAGCATATACCATACAAATATTAGTTTCTTTCCTCATCCAGTAGTTCAGGTAGCTATTCAGTTTGATTCTTTTGTACTAAATTTTCTCTTTTTAAAAATAAACTTCTTATTTTGGAGTAATTTGAGATTTGCAGGAAAGTTGCGAAGATAGTTCAGAGAGTTCTGTATACCCCTTCACTCGGTTTCGGTTACCCATAATATATCCCACCATGGGACATTTATCAAACCAGACGTCTTCATTGGTTCATTACTGTTGACTAAACTCCAGACTTCGTTTGGATTTCACCAGATTTTCCATTAATGCCCATTTTCTGTTGCAAGATACAGTCCAAAACACTACTTTGTACTTAGTTGTCATGTCTCCTTAGTGCACTCTGGGCTGTGACACTTTCTCCATCTTTCCTTGTCGTTTATACCTTGACAGTTTTGACAAAGTACTCCTCAGGTATTTTGTACAAAGTCCCTCAAATTCAATTTGTCTTAATATTTTATTCATGGTTAGACTAGAGCTGGAGTTATGGTTTTTTAGAAAGATTATTGCAGAGTCAAAGTGCCCTTTCATCACATTATATCTGAGGGTACATGATATCACTAATGGTGTTAACTAACATATAGAAATGTGCAGTAATCACAAAGTGAACATGCTCATCATAACACCCTCTAGATCAAGAAGTAGGATATTACCTGTACCTAGAAGCCCCCCCATATTCCTTCCTTCTTGCACAGAGGCAGCTGCTATCCTGATTGTTAATGATATAGAGTAGTTTTCTCTTTTTTGAACTTTATGTAAATTGCATGATTAAGTATGTATTTCATATGAATTATTTCTATTTTGTTTGTGAGAGTCAACTATGTTGTATATAACAGTAGTTTGTTCATTTTTGATGCAGTATAGTACTCCATTATATGAGTACACTACAGTGTATACATTCATTCTACTGTTAATAGATATCTGGGTTATTTCCAGTTCTGGCTGTTACAAATAATGCTATACATTTTTATGTACATTTTTCACTTACAAGTATATTTCTATCGGGTAAATACTCCGTGTTGGGTTTGCTGGGTTATAGTGTGTGCTTATATTAAACTTCAAAAGATGCTGTCAGTTTTTTAAAGTGATTCTACCAGTTTACATTTCTACCAGCACTTTTAATGTTGTCATTCTTTTTACTTTAGCTTTTTTGCTGGGTATGTAGTGGTGGTTTTAATTTGCATTTCCCCGGGAATATACAATAACGACAGTTGTATTTCTAATTTTCCAGTCCTTATATACATTTATTTCTTTTTCTTGCTTTTTTGCACTGGCTAGGGCCTTCATTATAGTGTTGGGGAGAAGTGATGATGGTGGGCATCCTTATCTTTCTGATTGCAAGGGGAAAACTTTTAACATTTCACCGTTAAATAGGATGTTTGCTGTACGTTTTTTGTAGATATTCTTTATCATACTGAAGAAAGTCCCTTCTGATCCTACTTTGGGAAGTGGTTTTTTTGTGTGTTTTAAATGGATAATTGAATTTCTATCAAATGCCTTGTCTGCCTTAGGATCCCAATATGATTTTTCTTCTTCATTCTGTTAATGCAATGAATCGCATTGGTGGATTTTCTGAATATTGAACAAACTTTGTATTCCTGGAATAAACTTACTTTGGTTGTAGTATATCATCCTTTTTATATGTATTGGATTCGATTTGCTAGTAGTTTATTGGGATTTTTTTACATCTGTGTTCATTAGAGAATTTGGCCTATAATTTTCCTTTCTTGCAATGTTCTTGTCAGGTGTTGGTATCAAGGTGATGCTAGCCTGGTAAAACGAGTCGGGAAGTGTTGCCTCTTTTTTTGTTCCCTAGAAGAGATTCCGTAAGCTTGGTCTTATTTTTTTGCTTAAATGATTAGTAGGATGCGCCAGCAAAGCCCTTCAATCCTGGAGGTTTCATTGTAGGAAGCTTTTAAGTTGAAGATTCAATTTCTTTATTACATATAGGACTATTCAGATTTTCTATTTATTCTATGTCAATTTTGATAAGTTGTTTTTCTAGGAAATTGCCCTCTTCATTTCCATTTTCAAATTTATTAACATAAAGTTTTTCATAATATCCTCTTTTTAATGCTTGTTGGATCTGTAGTGATATCACCTTTTCCATTTCTGATATTAGTTATTTATACTTTCTCTCTGTTTTTCTTGATCAGTCTTGCTAGATAGGGGCTAATTAATTTATGAATCTTTTCTAAGAACTGGCTTTTGCCTTTGTCAGTTCTTTATTGTGTGTTTGTTTTTATTTCATTAATTTCTTTGATACCTTCTCTTTGAATTTACTGTGATTTTTTTTTTTTTTTTTTTTTTTTGTCCTGACTTGAGATGATTGGTTAGATTATAGATTTTCAGGCTATCTTGTTTTTCCAAATGACTTTAGGGTCATAAATTTCTCTGTAAGCATATTATTTTGTCCCATAAGTTTTATATGTTATATTTTCATTACCATGCAGTTCAAAGTATTTTCTGATTTCTTTTGATTTCTTCTTTAACCCATGGGTTATATAGAAATGTATTGCTTAATTTTCAAACATTTGAGGATGTTTTAGTAATCTTTTTAATGTAATTTATGTTTTTCCCTGGGATCAGAGAATATGCCTTACATGAGTTCAGTCATTTAGAATTTCTTGGGACAGGTCAGGCTCAGTGGCTCACACCTGTAATTCTAGCATTCTGGGAGGCTGAGGAGAGAGGATTGCTTGAGATCAGGAGTTCAAGACCACCCTGAGCAAGAGCGAGACTCTGTCTCTAAAAAAGAAAAAAAAATATTAGAATTTCTTGGGACTTGTTCTGTGTTCTAGTGTATGATCTATTTTGGTAAATGTTCTAGGTACACTTGAAAAGAATGTATAATCTACAGTTGTGGAGTTCAGTACTGTATACATAATTAGGTAAAATATGTTAATCTTATTCAGATCTTCTGTACTCTAACTATATTATCTTTTTATCTGCTTATTCTATTGGTTACTATGTTAAAGTCTCTCACTATGGTAGGCATAATTCTGAGATAGCCCCCCAAATTCCTACCTGCTAGTATACATGCCCAGTATAATTGCTTCTCCTTGGGGGTACGTGGTACTGTGAATATAATTAATTTCACTCCCATGATTAGGTTATATGATATGAAAAAGGTGAAGGGACTTTGCAGATGTAATTAAGGTTCCAAATTAGTTAAATTTGAGATAATCATTAATCAAAAGGGAAATTGTCTTGAGTGTGCCTCATTTATTCAGATGAACACTTAAAAGGGAATAAGTCATTCTAGAAGTCAGAGAGATTCATAGTGTGTATGTCTTACTGATTTTGAAAAAGCAAACTGGCATCTCATGGTGAGGGCCATGTGGTAGGGAATGGCAGGTGGCCTCTAGGAGCTGAGGGCCTCAACTCTACAACTAAAAGGAATTGAATTCTGCCAACAACCAGAGAGCTTGGAAGACTCTCTCAAGCACAAGATGCACAAGATGAAATAGCAGTCCCAGTTGATGCCATGGTTTCAGCCTGTGGGACCTGAGCAAAGGACCTAGTTGAGTCACACCTGGACTTCTAACCTACGGAAACTGTGAAATAATAAGTGTTGTTTTAAGCTGCTAATATTACAGCAGTAGAAAACTTATACAGCCATTATGACTGTAGATACATCTTTTTCCCATTTTAGTTCTGTCATTTAAAAAAATATATTTCAAGCTGTGTTAGCAGGTACATAAAATTTAGAATTACATATCTGTATAGTGAATTTAATCTTTTTGTCATTACGAAAAGTCCTCCATTAGCTCTAACACAACGGTTGCCTTATATTTCATGTTATTTTAGTAGAGCTATGCTAGCTTTGTTTTCTATATTTACATTAAATGTATCTTTTGTATATAATTTTTTTTTAATTCTGGTCTGTCAGTTTGTTTTTCATTAGATTATTTAGTCTATTCATATTTAATAGATTTGCTAATGTATTTGAGTTTATGCCATGTTCCTATTTATTTTTTATTTGTCCCATCTGTTCACCGTTCCTTTTTTGCAATCTTCTTAATTATGTTTTATTCCATTCCCTGCTCCTTTCTTTTTTTAGTGATTACCCTAGAAATTAAAACATGTTATCTTTGACTTATTAAAGTCCAATAATGTAAAGTAGTATTTTTACCACTTCCTGGACAATGAAAGAACTTTAGAATGCTTTAACGCCAGTTACCTCCCTTCTGCCTTTTGTATTATAATTTGTGTGATTTTAAATTTTTACATATTTAAAATTCCTGAAAACATTATTATTATATATATTTAATATTATTGTAGATTTACCTTCATATTTACCTATTCTGGTTGCTCTTCATTCCTTCTTGGATCTTCATGCTTCCATCTGGGATCATTTTCCTTCCACCTGAAGAATTCCTTTTAGTATTTAGTGTATCTTTTTTCTTCCTATACATTTTATGCCTGTGGTCCCCAACCCCCAGGCTGCAGACCAGCATCGGTCTAAGGCCAGCTAGGAACTGGTCCGCTCAGCAGGAGGCGAGCAGTGGTGAGCAAAGCCCCACCTGCAGCCACAGCCACTCCCCATCACTCTCATCACCACCCGAGTCCCACCCCCTTCAGATCAGCAGCGGCATCAGACCCTCATAGGAGCATGAACCCCACTGCAAGCTGCGCATGCAAGGGATCCAGGTTGCAGCACTCCCCATGGGAATCCAACACCTGATGGTCTGAGGTGGAGCCCAGGTGGCAGCTCACCCAGTCCGTGGAAAAACTGTCTTCCATGAAATTGGTCCCTGGTGTCAAAAAGGTTGGGGACCGCTGCATTATGCCATAAGAAGTAACCTTTTAGTATTTCTTTAAATGAGGGACTGCTGCTGAATTTTTTCAGATTTTGTTTGTCTAAAAATGTATTTATTTCATTGTAACGGTTGAAGGATGTATTCACTGGATATAGAATTCTAGTCAGCAGTGATTTTTTTTTTTTTTCACCACCACTTTGAAGATACCAATTCTTCTGACTTCTGTTTCCACTGAGAATTTAGATGCAGTCTTATTGTTGTTCCTCTGAAGGTAATTATATGCTTTTTCCCTCCTCTGGCTGTTCTGAAGATTTCTCTTTGTCTTTGATTTTCAGCAATTTTCCAATGATGTGTCTTGATGTGATTTTCTTTGTAATTATTCACCGTGGGGTTTGTAGTGCTTCTTGAATCATGGCTTGATGTTTTCATCAATTTCAGAAAAATTCTCTGCTGTTATCTCTTCAAATACTGCTGCTTCATTCTGTTTCTCCTCTCCTTCCAGGATTCCAATGCATGTACCATAGACCTTTCCACCATTTCCTCCCATATGTGTCCTAGATTCTTATTGTATTTTTCCACCCATTTTTGTCTTCTGGCCTAGCTTCCAGTTTGTAATTCCATCTTCAGCTTTAAACCTCTTGCTGTTAAACCCTTTCAGTGTATTCTTAATTTTAGTTATTGTGTTCTTCAGCTCTAAAATTTCCGTTTGATTCATTTTTATAGTTTCTTATTTTTTACTGAAAGTCTCCATCTTGTCATTTAATTCATTGAATTAATATCAATTGCAGTTATTTTTAAGTCCATGTTTACTAACTCCAGTAACTGGACGTATTATGTATTTGGTTCTACTTTCTGTTTTTTCTCTTGCTCTAGTCAGCTCTTGTCTTCATATAGGCCTAGTTTTTCTGATTGATTGCTAGACATAATTTTGAGTTTGGGGATAATGTTATTTTCTTCTGGGGATTTACTCTGGCTTTTAGGAGCAGCTAGTCAAGGGGCAGATCACCTTAATCTAGTCGGGGATTGATTTGATTGGAAGCTTTGTAAGGACTACTCTATTTTCAGTTCATCCTGTTTCTAGAATGTGGTCCTTCAGCATCCTAGTCAAAAAACCCTGGGTTTTCCCAGGTCCTTTTCTCCTTTGTGGACCCTAAACTTCAAGTTTTTTATCCTCAAGCCCTGTGGTACTGCCTAATTGCACAGCTGCTTGGCCTCTCAGCCTCGTGTTTGCTTTCAGAATTGGCAGTTGCCTCAGAAGGTGGTTCCTGATGCCTGGTCAATCTCTCAGGTTTTTCTTCTTCTGGACTCTGCACCCCACCCCACCCCCCAGCCTTCGTAGTTCTCCAGATGTCTTCAAACCAATTTTTTGTTGTTGTTTAGGTTTGGTCCAGCAAACTAGTGGACCATTGCTGGGAATGGATTTCTTCTCTTGGTGTTTGCAATTAATTCCTGCTTTTTAAAGCTAGAATATATGGCAAGTTTACAAATATGCAAAGTAGAATTCAAGTTAATGACCTCTTCATGGCATGAACCTATATACTGTATGTCCTATATTTCCCATTAAGAGACCACATTAAAACTCTTGAGCAACATCAATTTAGAGTACTTCCGAGGGTTTTTGTTTTTTTACGTAAAGCGATATGAATATATTAGATGTAGAAAAATGAGATACATCTTAAAGTTTGTGTTGTAATGTGAAAAAATTATTGTGGATCTCATTCGTGTCTACCTTTCCATATTTTGCTAAGTACCAGTGTTTTCCCTATTGAGAGGAAACGAAGGAATTTGCTTGCTCAGTGCATCAAATGAGTTTTCAGTTGATTTCCCTATGTTTGAGCAATACATTTTAGACAGAATTCACCTGCTCTAAGATTGTTTCATTGGTAAGCAGATAGATTGTATTTCTTCTTAGATTTAAGGCTTTATTTCTTCACAGTTTGCTTTTTTTGTGTATTTGCAGAGGGTGCTCGAGAGGAAGACCTAGATGCTGTGGAAGCTCAGATCGGTTGCAAGCTTCCTGATGATTATCGATGTTCATATCGTATCCACAACGGGCAGAAGTTAGTGGTTCCTGGGTAAGGTTTTCAATGTTTTGGTTTTTTATTTATTTAGAGACAGGGTCTCGCTTTGTTGCTCAGGTTAGACTGAAGTGGCCTCATCATAGCTCACTGCAACCTCATACTCTTGGGCTCAAGCGATACTCCTGCCTAAGCTTCCCTAGTAGCTGGGACTACAGGTGTATGCCACCATGCCTACTAGTTTTTCTGTTTTTTGTAGAGATGGGGTTTTGCCGTGTTGCTCAGGCTTGTCTCAAACTCCTGACCGCAAGTGATCCTCCCACCTTGGCTTCCCAGAGTGCTAACATTATAGACATGAACCACCATGCCTTACCTGTTTTCGTTATTTTTAATAATGCAAGTTATTTTCTAGAATGAAAGTAAATAAATTATATTTGTAGTTGCCCCTCACAAGTTAAAGAAGTATAGGAATTCCCTCTTCCTCCTTACAGTAATGCATAAAACAAAATATAGAGCTTGAATTAGATTTTACCCAAACAAATATGTCTCATAAAAACATCATTTCTACCAACACATCCTTATAGTTAAAATGAAGTCTGATTGGGGGTGGGGATTATGGGACATAGGGTAGTGGCATGTGTGAGTATATTTTAACTAAACTGTTAAAATTCTAGAAGTGTTTATCCTGTTGTAGCCAGGTAAATTGTTTTGGGAGCTGTATGCAAATTCTGTCTACTATACATGTAAAAAGCAATAATTTATTCAGAACTATATATATGAAAGAAATTAAGAGTTTTCTTATATTTAAGCATAGCCTATAATTGAATGATCTATTTATAATTTACTTCTAATAGATGAAGTATTCATTGTGCACGTTTTTGGTAAAAGCAGACCATGTAGCAGCCATCAAAATTCACTTAAAGTTTTAGAAGCTGTCTGCTTTGAATGGGTTTACTTCTTTTGTATTTGTATGCAATTAAGCTATTTCAGAGACTCTGTGCTTGTGAATTGTTAGGGAGAACTTTGCAACGTTCTTATTGGAGCCTGGTGTTCCTTTGTGTGTGAAGAGTCATGTGAGGCTCTGTTACAGTTTCAGATCAGGGCTGAGTGAGTACAAGGAATCCCAGAGATGATCATATTGAGATTACAAAGTCATATTTGAAATCGAATATTGGGCATGGGTCAGAAATAGAAGTCAGTTAGGACTAGATAAGGCTAAGTGATTGGCTGTTTCTTCCTAGTCTGTTTTTCTATTGAACTGAAACTTGGCGAAGTTGAAAAATTATCATATTTCAAGAGCAAACAGGAGAGAACTTTGTTAAAAGAGTTGCCCAGAACTGACACGACAAACAGGTCATGAATTTCAACACAGGAATTTTTATCTATACATGGTCCAAGCATTGAAACTTAGGATAGGAATCTCATCAAGGACCACCAGGTAGTCCTTGATACCTGTATTGCCATCATGTATATGTAGTGAGATTACTTTGTACCTTTTGTATTCCAAGGTTGTGAAATTTGGACAAGGTTTAGGCTGATTTGCATTTATATTGTCTGGTTGCATAGGGTAAGCTAAAGGTCATATCAAGATAAAGGTTCAGAGAATTTGCCCCTTTAAATGTTAAATTAGCTGTATACACATGCGTAGCAAGACACTGGCAAATCAATATATCAGGCAAGGTAGATTCTTGAAAAAAATAAAACTGTATTTTTAAAAGGCTGACATTTAGGCATTTTAGACATTTATTTTTAATTTAAATCAAAATCTTCTTTCCAGTCAAAAGAGTTTGAATTTAATATGTAGAAATTGTATGTCTTGGGTATTCTCAGTTTAGAATTGTCATGTTAATCAGTACTTATACAGTTGCCAATGTGAAATTATTATTCATTGAAAAGATGAAGCACAGCTGTTTGTTTGGCACTGCAATGTATTACATTTCTGAGTCTATATTCTCCTCAGGTTGTTGGGAAGTATGGCACTGTCTAATCACTATCGTTCTGAAGATTTGTTAGACGTCGATACAGCTGCCGGAGGATTCCAGCAGAGACAGGGACTGAAATACTGTCTCCCTTTAACTTTTTGCATACATACTGGTTTGAGTCAGTACATAGCAGTGGAAGCTGCAGAGGGTCGAAATAAAAATGAAGTTTTCTACCAATGTCCAGTAAGTAGGAAGTGTTTTTAAATGTGGCTTTAAGATGCATTCTGATGATTGTATAAATGTATGCATTAGGCATTTTCAGGGTTGTAGAATGGGTATAGAACTTTATGGATTTTAATTACAAACCTAACTAGAGTGCCAGTATTTTGACATAATGGCATGGAATGCCAAAGGAAAATGTTACCGCTGGGCAGACAGTACAAACCAGTGTGTACCTACAGAGGGAGAGCTGTGATTTGTGTTAAGGTATTTTAAGTTTAAAGACTACTAATGAGAAGTTTTTTGTTGAAGTATTTAATTGTAATATATGTTACTAACTTTCTAAAAATTTAGCTTTTGAACATCCTTTGATTCAAGCTCTGAGTACAACAGAAACTTTGTAAATTCTCTTCAGTAGATATTTGACTTGTTAAAAAATGTGGTTCCTTTTTAGGAGACTTTTATGATTTTAATGTAACCGTAGAAAATGTCATAGTATTGGTTTCATTTTTATTTCTTCGGTTCTCAGTAATTCCTTAGTTACATAACCTCACCTTCATTTTTGCCTAGATGTGAACTTTTTACTGAAAAAAAGAATTTAACATGTAATAGAAAATGCTTTTCACAGTTATCTGAGACATGTGACTCCATACAACATTTTAAATATTTAAAAAGCTTACATAGCTTTTCATTTTTTTCAAGCATTTTCACGTGTTTTATCTCATTTTTGACTTGACATCTAAGGTTGGTAGGATGGTGGCTGGGGCTTTCCCTTTACCGAGAGGAGTGACTAACATAGAATTGTCCAGGTCTCTTGACTCAGAATCCAAAACCTTCTCTACTAGGATAACAAGCCATATATCTTCTTACCTCAGCTTTCTCTTAATAATTGTTTTCTTCAAGGATAACTTCCTCATTCGTTGTAGCGGTAATAGCACTACATAAGTGTTTAACTTTTTGAGAAGTGCCTGACATTCTTCTAAGGACTTTATAGAAAGAGCCTTAAACATAGAAGTCATAAGAGCATGAACTGAAAAGTGTGAGGAATATCTGAGCATTGGTTGGAACACTTATATTTATTTTTATCTGTTTTGCCTTGTCTCCAGAGAAAGATACAGATAATGAACAGTGAGAAATTAAGTAAAATGTATTTTTATCAATTGTATTCTTTTTCTTACCTAGGACCAAATGGCTCGGAATCCAGCTGCTATTGACATGTTTATCATAGGTAGGAGAAGAAAAAGTCTTTCTTGTTCCTTCTTCCTACTTGTTTAACAAATTAAGTTGTTTAAAGCTTTTTCAGTTACTTGAGCATCTGGCAATTTTATACTTGTATTTCTTAAGGTTTGCTGGTTTATAAGTACTGCATCTAGGTGCTCATTAGAATAGCTCTTGTACATTGTTTGAATTTTTTTTCTATTTGGAAAAAGCCAATCCCTATACATTCTTCGCTTTTAGGACTCCTCTATGGAACACTGAAAGGCATAGACTTGCTGTGAATATGTATAGTTCCCTTAACACACCACATGCATTTTCCACCAATCACATTAATATAATTGGAGAATAGATATATAAAGCAACTTTTTCTGTGCTAATACTATAGTTAAGATACTAACAAGTCACATTAGAGACCTCAGAAGCAGCAGTCCTCAGAGACCAGTGTAAACTGTGTGCCTCATAAACTCCTTGGTACAACTAGTTTTTCTTGGCCTTAAATATTTCTTACAGGTTTTTGACAACCCTTCAATTTGTATGCGAGTACAGCCCACCCCTTTGCTATTCATCCAGTCTTGTCTTGCTTAGATTTTGCTCACCTAAGAGACAGTTCCTGACCATCCATTCTGCTTTTTAAAGGCAGTGCTGACACGTATTAAACATCCCCATATATTAATAGCAAAGGGTCCTTGTAGGCTAAGTCATCTGTATGTAATTATATCTTCTAATTGGAAATTTGAACAGTGTTATCAGTCTCCATTTGTTCCATACTCTGGCACATTCCAGGTTTGTGGTGTACTTTACAATATCCAGCAGATCTCACCCCTACCTAGTAAGTTATAAAAAGCTTTTAAATTTAGGCCCTAGCATTCAGCTCACTCTGACTCATGTTGGTCTCTGGTTTCTAAGTTAAGCACCGTCTGGAGGTTATGCCTGTGCTTGTTGCCCTCATTGGCATTTTTGCATAGCAGACACTGTTAGAGATGATTGTGGTGGCTCTAGTCCAGCAGTGCTACTCAATTTATAAACTAAAGGCTGCCTAAGCACTAAGGTAAGCTGCTAGCTAGACCCTGTGAGTTTCTCAGTCTTAGTTTGGTGCTCCTCTGACATGGTGTGGAAAACACCACAACTACAGCAGAGTACTAAGGTCTAGTAGTACTATTCTAGTAGCTAGGATTTCTCCTAGGATGGGAGAACAAAGAAAAAGATTTGAAATACACTGAGAAGAGATGAGGTGGGAAATTAATGATGGGAGGAAAGATGAGAAAGCAGCTTCCTTTAACGTATCTTGATAAAACCTCAGTACTATCAGAAATTCTAAAACATGGGCTTATCTTAAAAGGTAAATTACCATGCAATATATAAATTGCATCTTGATTCAACTAAGTTTTACTTTCTTAGAATTTTTGGTAATATACAAGATGGCATCTCCTGGTGTTCAATGCACTATTAATAAGTATTTAAATGGCTCATGCCTATAATCCTAGCACTTTAGGAGGCTGAGGCAGGAGAATTGCTTGAGGCCAGAAGTTCAAGAACAGCCTAAGCAAGAGTGAAATCCCCGTCTCTACAAAAAACAGAAAAATTAGCCAGGCATGGTGGTACATGCCTATATTCCCAGCTATGCAGAAGGCCGAGGCAGGAGGATTGCTTGAGCCTAGGAGTTTGAGGCTGCAGTGAGTTGTGATGAGGCCACTGCACTCTAGCCTGGGCAACAAAGTGAGAGCCTATCTCAAAAAAAAAAAAAGTTAAGAAAACTGGAATCTGTGTTCAGTAAGTTTAATAGTGAATGCTGCCTATTCTGTCCTCATCTTAAAGAACATACTCTGGTATGTATTATAATAAATTAAGGTACATTAAAATACACGAGAGAGACAAAAATGGCGGAGTAAAGGTGACCTCCTGGATTCCTGCTCCCAGAGAAAGAGGCGTGGATCTCGGTCTGCTACACATGAATGGATGGCTCCCCCACAAGAACAGCATTGTGAATCGGCAGAGAATCAGCGTGGGACGCACAAAACAGGAAAAAAAAAAGGTGAACGGGAGATAGGATCGCAAAATCTGGAGAGTGCGAGACAAATGATAGAGACTAGAACGTGGGATGGCTGCGCCCGCCTGGCCAGCAAGTACAGTGGGATCAGACCCACAGGAGAACGTCCTGCTTCCCCACTGATCTCCACACCCACTCAGACAGGGACCTGCCTGAAGTTGGTGCAAAATTGCAGCAGGAGACGTGGGGCTTTGTGGAGAAAACAATAGCGGGAAGCATCTTGAACCCCCCAGAGCTCTGTGCCAGGACTGCACTGGGCAGGGGAGGGACTGGTCTGAGCTACTGCTGGAGGGAGTTAGGAAACAGGTAACTTGCCTCTGGCAGTCAGCGGGACTAGAACAATGGAGGTGAACACAAAGTAGGGGACTCTAACCTGGAAAACGCTGCAGGCGAATAGGCCCGCTCAGGGTGGGTCAGAAAGAGTGAGAGCTCCTACTGAGATTGTGGGAGGGCGACATAAAAGAGACAACCAGGCATCCTGATGACTCACCTCCCCAATCTGGCACCTGCCAACTCCTGAACAGTTGCCCCCAGTGCAAGCACTCTGTGGGCGGGCAGTCGCCATTTTCGGGGTCCACAACCCAGATACTGCTGTGCTCTACAGTGTCAGGCAGCTCCTTTCCCCCAGCCTGGGGACTCTCACAACAAGCTTTGCCCCTACATGACCTATGGTCAACTAGCCAGGCCCGTTTTGATGGGTGAATTCTTAATACTTCCCTAGTCGTGGGACGCTAACACCTGCAGGACTTATAGGTGCTGGGGTGCTGGGCGGACTGGGACACCGCCCCCTCCCCCTAGCCAGCAACTTTCCTGCCGAAAGCAGTAGGCTCCACCCCTGGAGGTCGGGAGAGGCAAGAAAAGCCACCTTCCCTATGTGACTAGCATGAATCCACGGGGCCTTGGCACAGATCAATAGTTGACAGCCCAGTGACTTTGCTCGTCAGACCGGTTTAGATCATCCAGTAGGATCATAACACTGGGGCTGGATTTCCGCATCCAGTGGGCTGCCAACAGTGGGGTTCATGGTCAGGGAACAAAAATCCTGGCAAGAGGCCACTATAGGCTCCCCAAGTAATCCCTCCGATCAGGAGCAGCCTCCCAACTGTGGTAGAAGAACCCCGAACAACATATTAGCGGCTCCCCCTAGCAGCAGATCAAGCAACCGTAGAAGCGCACACATCCAGGCTGTTAGGCAGCAGCTGCAATATGCCTTGCTCCTAAACAGCATATACTGGAACAGAGCCTAAACAGGGCGTGTTACTTTGCAAAGGAAAACTGAAAGGTGGGAAGCAGTGGCTGATCCAGATGGGAAGGACTCAGCAAAAGAACTCTGGAAGTATGAAGAATCAAATGGAAAGCACACCCCCCACGAGGAACACCAGCTCTCTAGCAATTGACATTAACCAAATTCAAAACACTAAAATGACAGAAGAATTTCGAACATGGATTGTAAGAAAACTCAATGATACGCAAGAAAAAAAATGGATAACTAACACAAAGAAAATCTAGAACTTGGAAGAAAAATTCACTAAAGAAATTGAAATATTAAAGAAAAATCAAACTGAACTGGAAATGAAGAATTTATTCAAGGAACTACAAAACACAGTGGAAAGCCTCAAGAACAGGGTAGATCAAACAGAAGAAAGAATCTCAGGGATTGAAGATAACACCTTCCAATTAAATAAGTCAGTCACAGAGATAGAGCAGAGAAATAAGACAAAAGAGCAAAGCCTACAAGAAATGTGGGATTATGTGAAGAAGCCTAACGTGAGAGTTATGGACATCCCTTAGGGTGAAGAAGAAAATCCACAAGGGTTGGATAAGCTATTTGAAGATATAATAGAGGAAAATTTCCCAAGCCTTGCTAAAAATCTAGATATCCAGGTACAAGAAGCTCAAAGGACTCCTGGGAGATTCATTGCAAACAGGAAGACACCACGACATGCAGTCATCAGACTGACCAAAATATCCACTAAAGAGGCCCTTCTATGAGCTGTAAGGCGAAAGAGACAAATAACATACAAAGGAAAGCCCATCAGAATAACGCCAGACTTCTCAACTGAAACCTTACAAGCAAGAAAGACTGGGGCCCCATTCTCACTCTTCTGAAACAGAATAATGCCCAGCCTAGAATCTTGTACCCTGCAAAACTAAGTTTTGTATATGAAGGAGAAGTAAAGGCATTCTCAGATAAGCAAAGACTGAGGGAATTCACGAAGACAAAACCAGCCCTCCAAGAAGTACTCAAAACAGTGCTACACACGGATCAGCACGATAAACATTCACGAATGTAAAATCACTCAAAAACTAAAGATCAAAGGCCAGATACTACAATGGCTCAAGAGAGAAAACAAAGCAACAAAGTTCAACCCAACAGGATGAACAGAAATTTGCCCCACTTATCAGTTCTCTCAATAAATGTGAATGGCTTGAATTGCCCACTGAAGAGACATAGGCTGGCTGAATGGATAAATACACACAAGCCAAGTATCTGCTGTCTTCAGGAAACACATCTAACCTGCAAGGATGCATTCAGACTCAAGGTGAAGGGGTGGAAAACAATATTTCAAGCGGACAGAAGCCAAAAGAAGGCTGGCCTGGCAGTTTTGATGTCAGATAACTTAGTCTTTAAATCAACAAAAGTAATGAAAGACAAAGAGAGTCGCTACATAATGGTAAAGGGTACAGTTCAACAAGAAGACATAACAATTCTAAATATGTATGCACCCAACTTAGGTGCACCCAGATTCATAAAGCAAACTCTACTTGATCTAAACAAAATGATAAACAGCAACACCATAATAGCCAGAGACTTCAACACCCCACTGACAGCACAGGACAGATCCTCCAAACAGAAAATTAACAAAGAAATAATGGACTTAAACAGAACTCTAGAACAAATGGACCTGACTGACATTTACAGAACATTCCATCCAAAAACCACTGAATACACATTTTTCTCATCAGCTCATGGGACATTCTCTAAGATTGACCATATCCTAGGTCACAAAGCATGTCTCAAAAAATTTAAAAAAGTAGAAATTATACCATGTATCTTCTCAGATCACAGTGGAATGAAATTATAAATCAACCCCAACAGAAACTCTCATCTCCACACAAAGTCATGGAAACTAAACAACCTTCTGCTGAATGATTATTTCATAAATGAGGAAATCAAGAGGGAAATCAAAAGATTCTTTGAACTAAAAGACAAAGGAGACACCAGTTATCAAAATCTGTGGGACACAGCTAAAGCAGTCCTGAGAGGAAAGTTTATTTCCATAAATGCCTATATCCAAAAGACAGAAAGATCACAAATAGACAACCTAATGAATCATCTCAAAGAGTTGGAAAAAGATGAACAGACTGACCCCAAACCCAGCAGAAGTGAAATTAATAAAATCAAATCAGAACTTAATGAAATTGACAATAAAAACACTATACAGAAGATTAATAAAACAAAAAGTTGGTTCTTTGAAAAAATAAACAAAATTGACACGCCTTTGGCTAGACTAATGAAAAGCAGAATTCTAACAAGCTCCATCAGGAACGAAAAAGGTGAAATTACAACTGATGCCATGGAGATACAAGATATCGTTTATGAATACTACAAAAACCTTTATACACTTAAACTGGAAAATGTGGAGGAAATGGACAAATTTTTAGAAATACACAGCCTCCCTAGGCTCAACCAGGAAGAAATAGAATTCCTGAACAGACCAATATCAAGTACTAAATTGAAACAGCAATAAAAAATCTTCCTAAAAAGAAAAGTCCCAGACCAGATGGTTTCACATCCGAATTTTACCAGACCTACAAAGAAGAACTGGTGCCTATCCTGTAGGAATTATTCCACAACATCGAGAAGGGTGGAATCCTCCCCAACACATTTTATGAAGCCAACGGAACCCTGATACCAAAACCAGGAAAGGACGCAACAAAAAAGGAAAACTGCAGACCAATATCCCTTAAGAATATAGATGCAAAAATTCTCAGTAAAATCCTAGCAAACCGAATTCAGGTGCTTATCAAAAAAATAACCCATCATGACCAAGTGGGCTTCATCCCAGAGATGCAAGGATGGTTCAACATACGCAAATCTATAAATGTAATTCACCACATAAATAGAGGCGAAAACAAAGACCCTATGATCCTCTCAATAGAAGTAGGAAAAGCATTTGACAAAATTCAACATCCTTTTATGATAAGAATGCTTAACAAAATAGGTATAGATGGGGCTTACCTAAAAATGATACAAGCCATATATGACAAACTCACAGCCAACACCATACCAAATTGGGAAAAATTGAAAACATTCCCACTTAGAACTGGAACCAGACA